ACTGGGAAAGGAAAATATAGTAACTGATACTTTATCTCATCCATCACAAGTGAATAATATTACTACAATATTTGCATAACTTATTGATAATGGAAAGTTATAATAAGGATATGAAAATAATAAATATTTCAAGGAAATTTGGATAGTCTTACAACATCCTGAGTCATCTACACCAAAGCAACTATCTCGATAACATATTGTTCTGAGAGATAACAAGCTTTATTTGAAAAATACAAATTGTCTTACTATTCCCAAGAATAAAACTCTAAGAACTCAAATTTTGAAGAAACATCATAACATCCCTATCTCTGATCACTTAGGAATTGATAAAACTTATGAGTTAATACAAAGATCATATTACTGGCCAAAAATGTTTAAAGATATTCATAAATACATTCTCAGTTGTGAAGAATGCCAATGAAATAAATCTAGTAATCAATCATCCTCAGGACTTTTACAACTATTAAAAATATCTGAATAATGCTAAAAACAAATTACTTTGGATTTTATCATATAATTACCTATAACTCGTCAAGGATATAATATAATTCTAGTTATTATTGATCATCTTACTAAACGAGTACATTTCATTTCTACTCATACTACTATTACTATACCTGAAGTTGCTAAACTATTTTTTAATAATATATTTAAATTACATGGACTACCTCAAGTTATAATTTCAGACCATGATGCCAAATTTACTAGTCAATTTTGGAAATCACTATTTGAATAAATTGGAACTAAATTGGCTATATCAACTGCATTTCACCCACAAACTGATGGTCAAACTAAGAGAATGAATCATATACTAGAAGAAATATTAAGAATCTATTTCACCTATAATTAAGATTGCTAGGATGAATATCTTGTAGCTGCTAAATTTACATATAATAATTCAATTCAAGCTTCATCTAGATATATACCTTTTGAGTTAGATTATGGTCAATATCCAATTATACCTACAATACTTATTACAGATAATAAAGTTACTACCGCTAATAAATTTATTCAATATTAGAATAATATTATTAAAGATGCTAAAGATTTATTAATGGAAGTACAGGATTATCAATCTAAATATGCTAATCAACATCATTATTTTCAAGAATTTAAAATTAGAGATCAAGTTTTACTTTTAACTTGCAATATTATTGATCTCATGGATAAACAACATCCTAGTAAAAAGCTTACACCTAAATATATTGGACCCTTTTCTATTCTTGAAGTAATCTTATCTGTTGTATATAAACTGGATTTACTTTTGTATATAAAAATCTATCCTGTCTTTCATATCTCATTGTTAAAGTTATATAATTCTAATGATAATGAAGATTTCATTCATCCAATTCTATCATAACCAATTATCATACCTGGAACTAATAAAGAAGAATATGAAGTAGAAATCATCTTGAATAAAAAAATTATTCACAATAAACCTCAATACTTAGTTAAATAGCTAGGTTACTCTCTTCATGATTCTATCTGGAAATCTTTGGAAAATCTTTGCAATTCTATAGAACTTGTAAAATCTTTTGAATCAAAATATTAATGAGGATATTGATTCTTAAGAGGAGGAGTATTATAACAATATTAAATTAGTTATTAGTTATTAATAATTATAGTATATTTATTCTTTATCTTGCAGATCATTGCTGCGTCACATACTATGCTATATATAACTTACTGTACTACAATTATCTGATTATGCCAAGAAAAGTTACCTGATTATTTTGAGTTATTTTAACTATAGATAGTTTCTTAATAGAACTTCTCTTTTCTCTTATTTTACTAATTTAGCTAGTATATTACTAAATTTATATATTATCTTATGTAACAAAAGGGTTACAAAAATTGATAATATTATATAACATTTTATGTATCAGATTGATATTTTGAATATTTATATCAATCACTATGTATCTATTAACTAAATCATATAAAGAAAATATTTTTTATTTTAATTTATTATGATATAATTTTAATAAGTTTATAATAATTATTTATAAGAGAAAAGAAGAATTTTAACAGGCTTAAAGAGTTTACTGATTTGTATTATATATATAATATCTTGTAATATATACTAAATAATAGAAATTAAATAATTATCAATCACTTATTAAACAAGCTTCTCACAATTAATTTTTATTATTTTCTATATCACTTATATTATTTTATTATAAATTTTTATATAATAAATTTTTTTTATCCAAGTTCTTATAATATATATAGTACAGAAGAGAATATTATATTCTAAAAAAAACTATCATAATTCTATTAACTTTTATATTATTCTGATTAGTAAAAAAGTATCAGAATTTCTAAAAGCATATAAATTATTAAATTATTTTTAGAGCTTCTACTATTATATTACTATTTTCATTATTGATAAAAAAATAGGCATCTACATCTCAATACCCATATCTATTATAAATATATAAAGTAAATAAATGCTAATTATATTTATTTATTTTATATAAAATTAATTAATATGAATCAACTATAATACTAAAGTTTTTTTAGTTGGTTAGGATACATAAAAATGAAATCTTGAGATTACTGAGAAGTTTGATAATATTCAACTTGATATTCTTATTTTTTAGAAAAAAAATTACTTTATTAATTTCAAGCTTGAGATTAATATTACTCAGAAGATATGAATTATGAAATTAATAAATTTTATATTTTATATTTGCAGCTTTCTTTAGTCTCAGCTCTTTTATACTTGAACTAAGATCTAATTTCTCTAATATATATTCTCTAATAGTATTAATAATAGATGATAATAAGTAGTTTTAATTACTTTATTTTTAATTAAAATTTAAATAGTTTCTGATTATTTCAATTTTTTACTTTCCTCTAATGAATATGAATAATCAGGCAAGTTATTATATCATTCAACTTGTATTTTTTTTAGCAACAGACCAAGATACTTTAATTTTTACAGAATATAAATCTGCTAGCCAAATTTTCATTTTTCTATATTTTTTATTAGGGACCTCTTCTTTCTATATACTTGATTAGTTATGTTTAATAAAGTAATGCATAAAAGTTTTCTATGAGTTACCATTAATAAGAATTTCATAATTAAATCTGGTCTATACATTTAAGACTAGAAATTACCATTCATCATCAAATTCATGCATTGGAATTTCAAATGGCTAATTGATATTAAAGAGAAGAGAGTATTTTTGATTAGGTGATATAAGAGAGTTCATTTTCATGTCACATTTTTTAGTTCTTGAAAAGAACATGTTTTAGATAAGACATGTTTGTTATAGTGCAGTGAGTAATTGAAAAATGCATAGTGAGTAAAAAGGAAAAATGTATTAGTGAGTAAAAAGTAGTATGAAATGAGAAGAGGAATTTTTTGTCAGTAAATAATTTTTTTTGTTCATGCCAGCAAAAACAAAATTACAAATAAATAACATAGTCTGAGTTCACAATCAAAACCTTTCCAGAGTTCTTCCTAAACAAATGTAAAGTACCAACAGCAAGCAAGCAAGCAATAGCCAAGATTATTTTGATATACGTGTCATGTAGTCGGAAAATAGATTTTCCGACTGCATCGTCGAATCCCTTCCGAGGGGATTTCAGCCACAAATATCCCATGACAAAATCACATGTCCACCAGGCTTTAGCCAACCTGTTTTGGGTCGTTGTTTTGTTGAAATATGAAATCACTATCTTCCAGCATTTTCTCATAAATTGTGTCTAAAAAATTGGTATTTAATATATCGACGTAGACATCAGCGTTCATTTTGCCATCGATTTTCGGAGTTCACCGACTCCGTTGGCAGTTAGGCAACCCCAAACCATAATGGAACCTCCACCAAATTTACGGTTGGAGTAACATGGTGGTCTTTTAATTATTCACCAGGCTTCTTCCAGCACCATTTGCGTCCGTCCGACCCAAATAATTGGAACTTGCTTTCGCCGGACCATATTATTTTCCGCCAGTCGTCGACCGTCCAACTTCGGCGTTTTTTGCCCATTCTAATCGGAGTTTTTTGCGTGTTTTTTAAAGTAATGGCTTTTTTCGCTTAATCCTTGCGAATAAAACATTTTTTCTAAACATACGTTATATGCTTTCCACTGAAATTTCGGCTCCCAGTTCAGCTTGGAGCTCATGTTGAACTTGGATGGCGGTAGTGCATTTCCCAGATGATATTAATCTGATGACATTCCGTTCGTAACGATCCGAAAGAATGCGTGGACGACCGGGTTTTGGTTTATCTTCAAAGTTTCCGATTTCTTCTTTGTTTTTACAGATGCGTTGGACTGAAGCTAAGCCCACCTGTTCCGACAATGTAATTTCCCGGACCGAATATCCTTCTTGTCGGAGAGTGTATATTCGTGAGCGTTTTCTAGTGAAATGCGAGGCATTTTGAAATTAAAAAATGGTTAGAATTATTGTTTAGAATAACGAAAGTGTTCTATAGATATTGTAGTGGAAAAAGAGTGCTTTTATACTTAAATTTATAGGACTGAACTTTTTTGTCCAAATCGGCCATATTACACGGAACGCTAAGGAAATTTAAAAAAATCATTAACTTGTGATGTAAAAGATAGATGAAAATAAAATATGCATTAAATGATTGTGATTATTTTAATAAATAAAATCCACTTTCTTTTGGTCTTTGATAATTCTTCAATGGCGAGGTATTCGAACCTCGCCATTTTTTTCCGCGTTCCGTTTCTTTGGTGAGTCACTGTATATCATTTCCACGCATCAACATGAAAAACATATTGGGCTTGCGATTTGGTTGGCTTACCGTTACAAGGTGATTTTAGTTATTGCTTATAGTTTCATCAACATGAAAACATTACACAATTATCGTAATACGCGATCAAGTATATAAAGAGGGGGAAGATTTCTATTTTTATTCTGAAATATTTTCTTTTAAAAATAAAGGAGTAAAATCATTCTCTCAATGCTATTACTAATAATAATGTCAACAACATGTAATAGCTTTCAAATTATAAAAGAAGTTGAGAAATTACTTTTTTTCCTCAATTTTCTTACGATTTTGCATTTTTCGTATTTGCAAACATTTATATTATAATATTAAAAAATAATAATAATAATCAATCTTAATGACCTCCGCCTTCACCAAATCAACAAAGGACCTCATGAGGGCCCACAGCCTTCGTGTTGAACCTGCAGCTGCAGCAAAATCAAGAACAACTGCAACAATATCAACAGTTGCTCCAACAACAGCAACAATTTCAACAGTTGCTCCAACAACAACATTTGCTGGAGCGATAGCACCTGGTGTTGTTACTACATCAGTGACAACAACAAACAGCACCATCAACAATAACAGCAACAACAACAGCACGAATAATCACATTTTGTATGAACATTATTTTTAATGTAATAAATATAATATAAATAGAATTTTATGAATATTTTTATGAGTTAGGATGAGTTTCATATTTAACGATCAGATACATGTATCTAAAAAAAATATAATATGCGCAAATCTGAGAACATGACATTATCGACGAAAAGTTCATGTTTATTTACTATCACTATGTTCAAGTCTATTTACGAAAAGTTCATGTATAGCTAGAAGCTCAATGCCTATTGGCAAATTTACAAACCAAACAAATAATGAAGGACTATTACTTTCAATATTAATTATAATTCTTAACATAATTCTTAATATATGAATTTGATGGTATAGGAAACGAGCTCTCAAAAAACCATTCCTACGAATACGAACAAAAAACAACAAATCCACTCAAATGCAATTAGATTGAATGTATTGAGAAAATAGCGATTGGTGCGGAAGAGAGAGTAATAATTTTCTGAGAATTATTTAAATTTGCTGAAAACTGGTAAATAAATAATTTAAAACCTGGTAAATAACTTTACTTGAAAACTCGAACTTCATCAATGGATGTCACCGATATTTTGGAGCACACTTTTTAGTATCGGGATGTCGTGGTATTATAATGTTAATGTTGTTATTCGCGTTTATCTTATCCCATATGCCCATTTTCAAATACTATAAAGATTCATTGCTTAATGTTTTATACGAAAGTTCTTGTCCGAATGTTATACACAAGTTCATTTTTCAATGTTATATACAAAGTTCAATGAAAGGAATAAGAATTAAAAAAGAAGGTATTATAAACAGTCGTCATGGTTACGTATGACTAATTTTTATTATTATACCCAAGATGCGTATGAAGATAACGATAATATAATAATATATTATATCGATACGATATATACGTTGCAACTGTAATAACAAAGGAAAAAGGCGGAAGACGTGAGGCGACACTTGATTTAGATGGTTTATAGCTTTAATTTGACTTCTTTGTACTTTCTTAAATTTAGAATGGAAGGTAAAAATTTGTCTTGTTATCATGTTACTTCCTGTACGATAAGCAATTTCTTCGAAATTGGGCCTAAATCCCCTTCTAAAAAAGCGCTACACTATACGATAAATTAAATAAATAAATGAATACCGTGTTATTGTCCCGCTTTTCCTTTTTATAGCCAGAGAAGGGCGTATCTCGGAGACTTGGAGACGAAATCGAAATTCATGCAAAAAATCTTAGTATCGCCATTCGCAAAATTCTTACAAAAATTCTTACTTTGTCACTGCCTTACCCAATAATAAGAATTCTTTTGCGTTACAAAGAATGTGATTGTCATACATTTTTATTTTACCATTTACATTAAATTTTTATTATATTCTTTATCTCGAAGCATAGCTGTGCTCTTTCTGTCAAAATTCTTGCAAAAAATTCATACTTTGTACGTTAGAACCACGCGAATTTTGTAGTGACTTCTGATCTGTAATCTAGACAGTTAAATAAACATAACCAAATTGTTAGCTTTCGAAGGGTCTGAGTCAGGCAAGAAAAATAACTAAATAATAAAATTATTTTTACCCTTACCTAACTACGTCTCGGCTTTTATTTCTTTTGTGTCTTAACAAAATCGATAGCTTTATTTTGTGCTTGAAGGTTTTAGTTGCTTTGCCATTACAAAAGTCGATGAATCGCGTTTGATTATTTGATTTTAATATTGTTATTCATTTTTTTTTTATTTTTTTTTGTAGAATAAATCCATTTTAATTTTAAATATTATTTGAACTTTGTTAGTAACATTTATAGTTATTTGAATTAAAAAGTTATATACTTTGTACCTTTGCCCTTGAACTTCTTTATTTTTGATTGCACAATCTCCGTTGAAGATTGAAAGAGCTTTAAGAACTAATTCTTTGCGTAAATCATTCAATCTAGTCCCGACCTTTGTTGCTGGTACAATTCTCAAGTCAACCTAACTTTCGAATAGAGTGTAACACATTTCAAATTTTATTTATTTGTGGAGAACCCACTTCTTGATCAGTGTCAAAATTGGAATAGAATATCACGACATTCCAAAATAACAACAGAATTGATCGGATATCCTGACAAACCAATATTCCGACATCCATCTTTCCAACAAGCTAACATCCAGACAACACTTTGATCCTTGTGTTTCTTGTAGTTATGCATGCCTTTTATCATTAAATATTTGGTAATCATGTAAAATATTTCGTATAGATCTTTTTTTTAATGAAATTTTCGAAGAGTATTATTCGAGTCATGCAATAGATAACTTAAATCAGATTGGACATTGTTACGAAAATGGTTTGGAAACAAAGATAATGTAAAAGCAACTTTTATTGTTAATAAGTATTAAGAAACAACAAAACGAACTGAAGTAGACACAAGGAATCTTTCTCAATCTGTTAAGAGAGAATATTTAATAGAACAAGATGTTTATTATAAGAATGATAAATTTGATAGAAAAGAAAAAGAATAGGAAAGAGGATTTGAAAGAAGAATCTGAAAAAAAGAAAAGATAATAATTTGAAAATTAGCTAATTCAATAAACTAGTTCAGAATCTCATAATAGAAAGAAATCATTGACATATGCTTATAATCGAGATATAAGGACACTCGATATATGTGATTGAAAAATTAACCCAACGCTTTTAAGTCTTCATGTCTTCGTTCCCAATTTTCAAAATTCATAGGACCCCACACATCTATACCACGTTCATACATGCGTTCCATCATGTCCGAAAAACATATAAGCAACTTCTTATCCCATTCGTTTTCAAGACTATTCCAGTGAGCGTCTGCGTATCTGTCAAGTTCCATTCTTGATTTAAATACAGCATCTTTGAATCGGAACGCACCATCGCCCTTGTATTTGATCCTGTCCATGAATTTTTTGAACTCCCCTTCTGGTTTGAATTCTAAGCCAATGGCTATTAAGATCTGATCCAAAAAATGTTGACAATTATTCCGGAGAAAGTGATAATTATGAGTCTTATTGTAATAAACACATCTTTCAGCAATAATTTTTAATTTGTCCTCCTTTATGGTTCCTAAATGGTAGAATAACCTATATATAAGACTTAAAAGCGTGTCTAATACAGAGGTAGTGATACGATTCCCGGCTCCCAATCTATCGATAATGTGATTTATTTTTTTATTACAAGCATTCACAATGGCGCTGTCGGGATTCATTCTTTTGTAGTTTAATCGTACATGGGCCAGTATTCTTCTTTCATCAACTCTTGGATACACGATGCTTTGGCCTGCAGGACCACAGCCCCATTCTATGATGATACCATCTATTTCCAGGCCTACATGAAATACTCCATATTCCGTAAATGAAGCAAGGTCTCGGAGCATTTCGCTAACATCCGTTTTTTCGATGAATAGATAAACATTATATTTTTGGTTTTCTCTCCTGTATTCTAGTGCGTTCATCAACGACATTTTCTTCGAGTCTTCGGGCATATCACGAAATTCACTTAATGCACGGACATCCGCGTTTATCTTTCTCAATAATTTTTCAGATTCTTCTATATTGTGCTTAAGAAATTTTTCGAAGAATAGATCTGCATCTTCAAGTTGATGGATAAGTTCATGAAACTCTTCTTGATTTTTGATCTCCAACTCTGTGAGTAAAGAGTTGTATTTTTCGGTTTCAACCATTTCTAGTTCATTGAGCTTGTTTTTTATGAAGGTATACCAAGCTTTTTCCTCACACCGAGAACGGTTTGAACAGAAGGAATTTTTTTCAGATATTGAGAAAGAGGAAGGGGAAGGGGAAGGGCCGGAGGGAGGGGAAGGGTCAGCGGGAGCGGAAGAGCTAGAAGGGGAAGAGCTGGAAGAGGATTGAGAACTGCCCATTTTAATGGAGAATAACGATATATTCTATTATCAACTATTTATTGTAAAGTGCGTGGGAATAAACACAAATGTTAATTATTCTATTATTGTAAAGTGCGTGGGAATAAACACAAATGTTAATTATTCTATTATTGTAAAGTGCGTGGGATAAACACAAATGTAAAACATTCATGGAAGTTCTGAGAATGCCTTCATCAAGCTTGGTAAATAGGAAAAAGGTGTATAAGTGTTATTCTCTATTGGAGCTTTAGCGATCGTTATTAAACGTTAATATTGTTTTATTTGTTTAGAATTTGTATTGTCAGAAACACAGAATTTATAGGTGAATTAACGAATTTAATTTGTAACTAGGGTTTTGGGGAGAATAAGTAGACTAATTATGCTGTTTAGTTTGAAGCCCGTGCTGATATCGTTCTACAAGAGAGGGAGAGTGTATGTTATATATTCTATTATCTAAACTAATTCTAATCGATGCTTTATATAGACAAAAAGCCTTAAACCTTAAACTCAATTTGATGTGTTGCCTTTTCTGTATCAAGGACCTAATCAAACACGTTGTCCTTTCTGGCACAAAGAACCTAACCAACACGATATGATCACGACGACGCCTTTACGGAGGGTTTTACAAGTATTTTATGGTTTGATGAAGAATTGTACACAATTTATTTCTTTTTGTTGTTTTACTTCTCGTTTTTTTTATTGATGGTCCAAGAGCCATCCTTTATACACATGTTTGTTAATTTTATCTATTTAGTCTGTTAACGATATATAACTCCTATTGCATCGATGAAAATAAGATATAATAAGAATATATTAAAGTATAACAAAAGACAGTATTGTGCTGAAAGTTATGCTGTAATATGAATTGGATCACGATGGAAATTACGCGACGGATTGCTGAAAAAGATACAATACTACGGGATCGATTGTGCTGAAAAATGTACAGTCAGAGCCGGCCGATCTTGCATAATTTTTGGAATTAACGAATTAATGGTAACAGTATTTAAAACATTAAAAAAAATCTATTCAAATGTTAAATTTGATAATTTTGCAACTAACAACAAGGATCACTTACTACCAAAAATAACTGTATTAACATCTAATTGACTTTCAATGAGTCTAAAATGCCTCCGATAAAATTTGTGGTTCTATCATCCAATTAATTGTTTTTGACTTTTGAAATTTAAAGCTTTTTTGCTAATCTATTCCATTTGTAGGGGATCCTTTTAAAGCAAGGTAGGCGATATTTTTTTCGATTTTTTCAAAAATTTTGTTAGAAAACATTTTAGTGTCTCTAGTATCAAACTATATGTAAAATCTGACTCCGAACATTTTTATTTAGTGACCTTGAGGTGGTTGTCATAGTAAAATGTTGAGTTATTTACGTTTTTAAATGTTTATATTACACATGATCTTGCGATTCGATTGGTCCAATTTGGCAAACTTGAAATTTGATTGGCTCATCTCCTCGTGACTTACCTTGCTTTAAGGACCCCCCCCCCCCCCCATTTGTAGCCATTCCAATTATTTCTTCTCTTTGATCATTTTTAAAAATATAGTTTTGGAAAATTGCGTCAAAATAATTACTTCGTATCAGTTATACCTACAACAATAACCATTGACGTACGTTATGATCAGTAGAAGAGAGAAGAGTTCCAAGTAGATAATGTCCAAATTACAGCTAAGACTTCTTTAATAATAATAGGGATTTTAAAAGAAATGCTTGTATATGCAGCAACATAATCTTCCTTTAGACTGAATGTTTCAACTTTGCCCGAAACTCTGGAAATCTATAGCGAAAAATTTTATGCATCCCTTGTTTCCGTCTTACAATATTATGAAGATTGTACTCAACAGACAACGAGTCATTTTTTTTTACTTCATTTATTGAAATCTAGAAATATTCGTCTTCGAGAATTAACCAGAACATATCACGAACACTTTAAATTGAAACAACCAAACATAAACAAGTACAACTGAAAGAAGTCATAGTCTGTTAAGGTTTTAATGTTGATTCGGTATTATTATATCTGCTGGCAGATAAGAAAAAGGTTGTGGAAAAATACATATTAGCGTTTTACGTACTCATTTTATCAAAGATAGTGTAAACAAAACAACCTAACTAAAATATGGGAAATACTGTGCTTAAGAAGTAGTCATCAGTGTCGTACAACAATTTTTATAATATTAATATAAACACGTCGAAATTAACGTTAACTACAAAAAGTTATCGATCAAGCAATCGAAAAAACAGATGACAAAAATTCAAATTTCTCCGATTCGAAGAGATCGAATAAATAAAAAAGTAAATTAACGTTAATGATGCCGCAAATGACGAAATGAATTTGTCTAATATATCCATAACAACTTATCCGGAACCAGTAAAAGTTATTATAGCAAAAAACACGACTGAAGATCAAAACATGAACCGATAACAAATAGAAACAAATGGATGATTTGTTGATTCTCTTTGACAAATATTTTCAAATGTAATGAAAATTATAAGGCTAATTTAAAAACTTTTCACAATTATTACATTCTTGCAAAGTTTACAAGCTAATATACTACATGCAAAAATTCTAGGCTTTGTTTATCATATGGGTTTGAATCTGAAAAAGATTAGGATTAAGCTTTAGCATCTTATCATTTCAAGGAGATGCTGTAGCACAATATCTAATTGGAAAATTATACAATGATGAGGATTTGATAAAGAAAGAAGGCATTGGAATGATACATTAAAGCAGCAGAGTCTGGAATCCCTCAAGCACAATATAATCTTGCTATCTGCTATAAAAATGGTGAAAGAACAATCAAAGATGAACAAAAATTCATTTGAGTAGTCTTCGAGGTCGGCAGAGCCTAGAATCGCTGAAGCATAATCTGGTCTTGCTGTCTGTTACATAAAATGGACAAGGAATGATCAAAGATGAACCAAAAAGCATTCGAATGGTGTTTGAAATCAGCAGAGTCTGGATTTTCTCGAGCACAATGTACTATTGCCATCTGTCACTAAAATGGAGAAGGAACGATCAAAAGATGAACAAAAAGCATTTGAGTGGTATTTGAAATCAGCAGAGTGGAATACCTGGAACACAATACGGCCTTGCCACCTGCTACAAAATGGGCAAGGAACAATCAAAGATGAACAAAAAGCATTGTGTGATATTTGAAATTGGCAGAGACAGAGTTTCCTCGAGCACAATGTATTGTTACCTTCCATTACGATAACGGAGAAGGAACATGTAAAGATGAATAAAAGCATTCGAGTGGTATTTGAAATCAGAAGAACGTGGAATACCTGAAGCACAATTTAGTCTTGCTTTCTGTTATGGAAATGGAGAAGGAACGACCCGAGATGAAAAAAAAAGCATATGAACTTTTTTTAAAATCTGCGAACTCTGAGACCGACTACGCCCGAGTGTTTCTGAGATTTAGTTATGAAAAAAATAAAAATTATGAACAAGAATTATTCAAATATCTTTTACAATCAACAACTGCTAGTAATTCACTTTCATATTTCCGACTTAGTCTATGTTATGAATATGGCGAAGGGGCCAAAAAATGGCTGCAGTATATTTGAGTGGTATTTAAGAGCAGCAGAGTTAGAGATAGAAAAGCTCAGTTTAACCTTGGAAATTCTATCAATATGGACTAGGCGTTGAACAAGATCTCGACATGGCATTAATATGGTATCAAAAGGCTGTAGAAAACGAACACGATAGAGCTCCTGAAATGGTTGAATCTTTCGATTTTTAAAACATTTATTCTAGTAATTAAACATTTACTATGTGCATTATTAACTTTGACCCATTAAATCACATATAGTAGAAATTCCATATCTTATATGGGGCGTGCTGCAACAAAACCAGACAAAATGAACATCTGACGTTAGATTCACTATATATGTATAATTTTTATGTCTGGTTTTGTAGAATTTTTATACATAGCATATTAAAAAAAAATGCAGGATTATCCCTATATACTTCTACTCTTCCGATATCTTTCTCTTCTTCGGTTCTTGAAATGCTTCCAATAATGCTCGCTTCTTAAGTTTTTCTTCTGGTTCTTGTCGACCTCATTCAGCATCTTCATGGTAAGAGGCAATTTTACCTCCAACAGGACTAACGTTTAGTTTTTGATAAATCTCATAAGTAATCTTTATCCAAGTATTTCTTTAATACTGTAGTTTTGGTATCAGATACTTTATAAGGAGCAATTTTTTCGCCCTGTTCTCTTTTCAAGATGCTTCTGATAATACTGTAATCTTTAGGTTTCATGGTGGATTTGATGTAAATTAGTTTCATATTCATATTTTTAATACAGGGGTAGTCCTTTATATCTGTTCGCTGATGCTTTGTGCCATGATGCATTTCTTTTTATGCACACTGCACCCCGTGGCTTAGGAATTTTTCCCCCTCTCAGACTCATTGTTAAATAGCCCTCGCCATCTCTACACTGCCCGAGAATAGTCTATGAATCGCAAATCATGGCATTACTTTGCTAATGTGGCATTTTAAAATCGGGGTGCAAAACATAGACCATCTTCTATGGAACCTCAGCAACAGTCAAGCACCATTGTCGCCATATTCGGAGCACCTTCAGTCTTGGCTCAACATATTACTGCGTTGAATAAGGAAGAACGAAAGAGGATACCAAACGGTAAGGAGCTTCTATCTACGGTTAGACAGGTATATCGATATGCTATCGACCTTGAATATAAAATTTTGATTTTCGTCATTTTTGTCAAGCAATTAACTCTCGCTCCGTACCTTTAATAGCATACAAAACGTCTGAAAACGCTTCATCCTGAAGATGCATTAAATTTGCTAACACTCAACCAAACATCATCAGTCCTGATACGAGAAACTTTAAGGCTTTTGCGAAGAGGTTGGCCCAAGTCTTACCTTTTCACAAGCTTCTGACGATGAATTTGTGTTAAGGGTTCGATTCAGCCTCTGGCAAACCTTTTGCCAAAGAAAACTTTGACAAGCAACAAAATGGCTACATTTCCAGGGCCTGGTCGTGTCTGAACTCACTGCAGGAAGCGAGCCTACCTTGGCATAGCAAATTGTGCAATATCTCAAAAACAAAGCCCTTCACGGATTCGTCTTTACATGCCCGACGGGAATACTGTCGTCCTGAAGGGGATATTTCTACTGATTGCCATCACTCATCTTTACACAATCAGGGTTGTCATATTCTCTACACGTAGAAAACCAGTCGAGACAGACAGAGAGCATCATACAGTCGCACTCTCGAGTCATCAGAACTCAATATTATCAGTAGGGGAATGGTATCCACTTGACTTGGCAAAAAATTGGGTCAAGCGAATAGCTGCAGCACATGTGACCTCCACTCCGCCAATGGTCTCTTCAAAAGGCCTCAAGAGCAGCTTCTAAGCGGAAGGTCCCCTGAACCTCTGTATTCCCGTCATATACGTCAAACCAAAATGTAATAAACCAAGATAATACCACCCATTTTATTGAAGAAAAATGTCTTTGTACACGGGACTTGCGAATTCTTCTGCGGCGAGTAAATCCTGAGGTGGAAGAAGAAACGTCGACAAATTCAGGTGAGCCTGCAAATTACGCATCGATTGGTGATGACACATTAAGAGATTTGCTGCGATCAATAATGTGATTGTAAATTATTATTATTGTCGTTATTATTATTTATTTATTTTCGGATGACTTTACTTTTGCTTTACAGGAAAGAGCGCCTCCGAAACGACTACGAGAAGGAAGTAGGGCAGAATCCCACACAGAAGGAACTGGACAATTTTAAGGAAAAAAATACTAACCGTGCTTCGCCGCCTCGAGGCTATGTTGAAGCTTTACTCGAGAGACTCAGCGAAACAATAGATACAAGCAACATGAAAGCACTTGGTTTGTCCAACCGTCTCAGGAGAATTAAAGATCCCAGCACCATGCAAATATGGAAGGAGGTTGCGAAAGAATATATGACGGCCATTTCAATGAATTCAATCACTATTTCCAACATTGGTACTTCAGTTGTTTCTCCTTTGCAGAATTCTGGTTCTGGAACGGACAAGAGACATAGATGAAAACTGCCGTGTTGTTACTACTACTCTGCGACAGATTGTCCGAGGAGAGCACAGCATAACCGATATAGAACAGCAATTACTTTCTGAACAAAAGGTCAACCATCAAGTATTTGAGACTTTCTGTGATATTATCCGTGATGCTACGGACATGGTAATATTTATGTTGCCTTGGGCTATTATAGTGTTTTATTATTATACTAACCTTACCAACAAACACCAGATTATTTCAGGAAAAGTGTTTTCCCTTGTGGATAATCCAGATGCTGGATGTCTCGATCTTGCGAAAGTTTTCACTCAGGGTTATGATTTTCGAGTTCACATCCTTAGCCAACATAACCTCAATTCCAGGGAATGTGTCGGCCTTGATTAATGCTGGGGTCTTCTCTTTTTCTAACTTTGAAAACCTATTTTATGGTTTGTATTGGAAGCACAGTGCGAAATGAGTCTGAGTAAGTAGAGAAATATTATTCGAATTTATTTAATGGATAGGACGCTATAATTGTGGTATTTAATCTCAATTTTTATGTTTTCAGGCTTTTTGCACAGATCAGAAAGGAGATTAATTCGAAAAAAGAAGTGTCTTTGAAGATTGCTGGTGCGACGAGTAACCATGCAATTCGCAAAGCTTCGTTGAAGGAAGCATATACATCTGTCACAAACATTTGGATGGGTGACATTTACAACCGGAGTTTGCGTAATTTTACCCGAATTCTCCTTCGGATTCACCTTGCACCAGCCAGGATGGTACGGACGGTATCAAGACGTCCGACAGAGGAAAACTGGCAGACAGAAAAGGAGCAGCAGGGTCTAGATCGACGGTTCAGAAATCCAAAACACCAGATATCGCGCCTCATGAATGAACTCGGAATAGCTATCATTAACAATCGGCTGGCGTCTGTTCTGTAAAAGATTGTAGAAAAGTTACAAAAATTGTTGTAACCACCTACTAGAGACGTATTGGGTAAAGGCGAGCAGCGTGAAGAGGGCACATTGTCTTCATTAGATTCAGATTCCGAGGACGCGAATGACGAAGAGGAAAAAGAGGATCAAAATCAGGAATCATCAGCAAAAACCATCCGGGTTCTCTTGTCCATCGAGATGCTTATCGAATCAGGAAACATTCAGCGCTGCGTTCAAAGGAACAACGTTTACGAAGAAAGAAAAGATGATAGCGACAAATATTATTAATTTCCTTCGGCCGTTCATTCAACAACGCACGGATGACAATCAACTCCCAGAACCTCACATCCTGATGCGTGCGCCGCTAGCCGCACTAGCCAACGCTATTGCGACTATTACTGGCTTCCCATCTCTCGTTCGGAGTTTGTCCATCACCTCACAACAAGATCCTCGTTCACTACAGCTGACTGCTGCCGGCGTATACGACACGTTTCGTGGACAATGGGATATCCCTACAGATAATGGAAATTGGATCACTAATTCTTACAAAGCAGGAAAAAACAAACCAGCCACCTTTGGAGCATTTCTCGATATAAATCGGATAGAATCGTTCATGGACTCTTATGGACTTCGGTTCGCGTAGAGGCTAATCTTTGTTGACAAGTGGACTGTACGTTTATTGGGGAAGGCAAAACCTAGAAAGACATTTGTCAAGTCGAATTATGAGACAAGAAAAAAGACAAGACTAATATCACCAAGCTTACGCTAGTAGAGACGCCGAGTTTGAACCGTTTAAACGTGGAAGCACAGGCCGAAGTCCTTGCATCACAAGTCAAAGACTTGACATAATTGGAGTTGAATCGGATGGACATTGGCCGGAAGTTCAGGAGGTCGCAATGGGATCCGAGTTCCGACGACTACTATGAGCTGAAGAAAATCATACAGGAGATTTCAGTCAAATTGAAGCTTTCAAGTTAGAGAAGGCGCTTGCAAGGACTAGAAGCTCGCTGTACTCCCTAAATAAGGCCCTGCGAGCAACGAATTCTACAAGGACTACCATAATTTCTGGAAATGCAAATCTGCCATATGAGGCTAAGAAAGATTCTTTGAATGGGATTAGGAATGAGTATTACATGGAAAAGGTGAGATTTATACGTATTATTATCTCTTCATTGCCTAATCAAATTTTAACTCTGCGTCTGTCTCAAAATTAAATGGATCTACTTCCAATAATCGTAGACTATCTCTCTTCACAGCAGAAAGTTGTTTTTTCGGGGACAGACCCGGGCACCGTTACAACGTCTATCACCGTACCAAGACCTCTTGAGACCATCTTTGCCGATATAAACCGCTTCGGGAACCCTTGCTTCTGTTGAGGATAGCGCTGAAGAGACCTCAGAAGCAACCCCTCAGATTTTCGATGTCGACTTTCTTCCAAGATCTTACAAGATCACTGCCGAGCTCATTAACAAAGTCACTTTTTAGAGAAGCAACAAAAAAAAATACCACAAACGACAAAAACGTGGTGTAGACAAGGAGAACCAACAGAAGAAACGAGCAAAGGAAAACTGGGCTCGAGAGATTCGAACTAAAAGGGTATATGGCAAAATCGCTGCGAAAGAAAGGCGACATATTCGTGCCCATGCTCAACTCCCTCCAGATCTGCCAAAACCAGCACTGATCCACTGCGTTGGACACTGGCAAGGGATCAACAGCTACATCAAAGAGCATTCTCGACGAGAAATGAAACAGATTCGAGTATAATACAGGAGTTATGGCAGCATAGTGATTATAAATGAGTTTAACTCTTCGAAGATATGTCTGTTCTATTTTTTCAAAGTTGTTCTCTATTATATCCGCAGATTGTTTGTCTGCATAACATAACAGAATGCATCTATCTTTGATATCCAGCAAGAAGGATTGATCACATTATCAGAAAAAGAGATACAAATACAATGATCAATATTGCTTTCTCTGAATTCTCCATCATCCTCTCATCTGACCATCAACCTCTTCCTCCATTTCGCCACCATGCCAATCACACAAGATACAATCTTGCAAAAGAATTTCTTTCAGTTATGACACCAGAACTGGTTCCCCGCAACTCCATTCGTGATGAATAAATATGGTAAGAATAAAAGAAAAAAGGATAGATGGTGAGGATAAGAAAGGCTGAAAATTTTCCTAGTTTGATTTACTCATCATTCACTTTGTTTGATTTTGTTACAGGCTGCCCCATATATAGTATAGTCTTTTCATCTTCTATAAATTACGTATAATCATCATAAATCCTCCAAGTATTATTCCCATTGAAGATTAGAAACAGTATATTCAAGTTTATTTTTTGATACAATTAAATAAAAAAAATCTTTGTGTATGGTATGACCAGGAAAATGTATTTACAAAATTATATATCATACATTACTAACCTATCTATTTATACGTCGGGCATTTATTCAATTAACTTTTCGCAAAAATCAATGTTAATACTATTCCAAGCAATTTGTAGCTTTTCCCACAGTTCATTGGTATTAGAAAGTGAGCCAGGAAGTCTTCGCAAGATTATATCGATTGACTCAAGTCAGGAGACTGAAATGGCCAAAACTACGATCTCATTTTCGTAAAACCAATCTTTTGCTTCATCCTTTTCCAGCATAATCTCAAAAGTTAATCTAGCAAATTTGTATTTAATATATATTGACAAAAACATCTGCATTCATTTTATCATCGATTTTTCTGAGTTCGCCAACTCCGTCAGCACTCATGCAACCCATATCACAATTAAACCACCACCAAACTTCATTTTGGAACAATGCGTCAGTCTTGCTTCCAACGGTATTTTCTTCCGTCTGACCCAAATATTTGGTATTTGTTTTCGTCTGACCAAATTATTCGTCGCCAAACATAACTGCCCAATCTCGATATTTCTTTGCCCAAGCAAATCAACGTTTTCTGTTTTTGTAAGTAGTAGCTTTTTACGTTTTATTCTGGCGAATAACCGTACGCTTTCCACAGATAAATTGACTCCTAAGCCATTTTGAAGTCTGTGTTGGACTTCGACGGCAGTAGAACCTTCTCCGGTTGTTACCAGTCTGACAGCATTTCATTCATATCAATTTGAGGGAGTGCGTAAATGGCCAGATTTCAGTTTATCTTCAAAGCTTTCTGTTTTTTCTTTCTTCTTGCAGATGCGTAGGACTGAATCTGGGCTTACTTGTTCTGATGCCGCGATTTCTCGTACGTGTATCCTTCTCGGTGGCGTACGTATATGCGGGAACATTTTGATGTTAAATATTGTTGAAAAGTATAATTTGTTTATACTTAACTTTAAAAGCCTTACGTTCGCTGAAGCATTCAGTCATATTATATCGTACATTGAAAAAAAGTTTATTATTTTTTGTTTCGATTACATTGAATTATAAAAATTGTCGCTGATGATACTTGGACAATTCCTTCGATGGCGAGATATTTGAATCTCGTCATTTTTTTTCTCTGTATGATTTCAAGTCTGTATTTTTATTAAATCTCCTCTTATCGTTATTTTTTTTAAATAAATTTTTACATTACGAAAATATATAACCTTGCAAAAGATAAATTTCAAGTACATGTATTCAAACTTCCTCTTTCTTAATAGAAAGCAAATTGAATTTTACGGTGCTAAATTGTAAGAATGAAATTGTCTAAATAAAAAGATAAAAATATTATATTTTGAGATTTTATAACTACACAAATTTCTCGATATTCCACATATCTATGTGATGCCATTTTCATGAAAAAGATCTAAATCAACTAGCAATTTTAATATCGATACTGGTAAACTAAACTCCATATCAAGAAAGATACCTTTAACATCTATAAAACGCCAAAATAATTCAAGATTAAAAAAAATAATAAAAAAATACAATAGCCAACTTAATGGTTTATGACGGAAATTTCACTAGTTAAAATATCCAATCTTTGTAAATTAAATTTATACTTCAAAGATTATGAGCACATAAGTGAGTATCTGCCCTATATCTTATTTTCAGAAGTCACCTACGATTGTTCTTCAACCAATGAGTAGCAAAGAATAAGGTATACTCTATCTTGAGCGCTTTTCCGATAAAAGTAGTATGTCGTATTTATAAAACAAACTTTTTCGACCATACTACAAGCTTTTGCCGATACACCATACAGTCGCACCTCTCTACATAAGAACACGTTATATGAGAACATTTCAAAATAAGAATAATTCTTCGAGAACCAATTTATTATAAACCATATATTTTAGAAGAACATAGTTTTCTGAAAGTACCGACTAGATTCTTAAGTAGAAGTACGATTTTACTTTTTTGTTCAATCTGACAATACAGTTTATCGTAGGTTCCCATACTGAAATCTGATCAATCATACCATAAAGAGTGGCTGAAGCCATATCAAAAGTCAATATTTGCAAATTTTAGTGCCCGAGAATGACAAAACGCAGACAATGAAAATTGCAGACATATTATTATTTTAGATCCATCGAAGCTTTCTTTAACCATTACATTCCTTAAACTGTATTTTTATTTCATCATCGATTATTTTACCTGTATCTTCAGAATATTTGATCAATTCTACTTACGCTGAGTGAATAGGAAGGATGTGCACCATTCATAACAGAAGCACCCACTAATGCTTCAGTGATTTACAGATACTGAATGTGACTCATAATGACATAATTAAATAGTCGCATGAGTCGGACAAATTAAATGAGGCCCAGTTCATTATGTACAATTGGATATTTCTGACAACACTGTTCTCAATAAGATCTGGCGAATCTTTTTTTTTGATATCATTAACACACGATGAAATTTCTCGGATTGATGTAGCCAATTTTGACTGGAATTATAACATAATTCTGGCTTGAATTTAGAAACATATATTACGAAATGTTTGTTGTACAGAACTTACGTTAACAACATTAGATTGAAATTCCCAAGTTTCAAGATGTGAACGTAAACCCAAACTTGATATCAAACCGAAAATATAAAATCCGTTATACTGGAAGGAAAAACTTAAATGGGGGATATGTTAAAAGTAATCTATACCAGACAATCACGTGATCAAAAAAATCAGCATCTTAAAAAAATCCCTGAATAGATTTTTAAGAAACGAATGAACCGTGCAAACTACCTCTCACTGTATCGTAATCCCCATGATCCAGACCCGGGTATAACTGGGTATTGTACCATCCCGTGATTCAGATCCGGTATTTTATATTCTACTCATGCTCGATTAAGGAAATTCGATTCATATGATAAAAATAATAAATGATATGATATTTTACGAGTTTAGTTTACTACATGTATTATTATTAATTCTCCATTAAATATATCCCCCATTTAATATACCCCCTTTACACAAAATCCACCCTTGCTCTTTATAATATTGGTGCCGGGACGACTGTAAACAAAATCATCACCCCCTTGGCTCATTATTATTGTTATTTGAACCCGATCTACCAATTCCAACCAACCAGATGTTACCGTAAAACGCCGTGCAAACCTCTTACATTCTACCCTCATTTAAATTGATTTATTAGTGAAATTTCATGATTTGTGGGGGGTTTTTTACATAATGTTTTAATAAAGAATATTTTACATGTGACTATAAATAACTGTTGTGATTATATAGGGGGTGACTATAGAGGGGGACGACTGTATTTTATTTGGGTGAAAAGCAAGCAAATCTTTCTTTATATTGCGGATTAGCATCACCTATGTTGATTGGTTGATGCTTATTTTCGGATGAATCCGGAAGATATTCAAGAACTACGAATGATATATCAGTATGATTGGCGTGTTTTAATTAAAATAGACTCCAGAATAGGTTATTCACCTTAAAAGAATAAAATCACGGGCCAATATCCTTTTGACGCGGTCCCTCACGCTCTATATTTTTTCTTGTAAGTTAATAGAAAAAATAACTGAAATGGCTCAACATCGTGATTCAAATGATTTCGAAGATGTTAGTAACATAGAAACTCAAATAGCAGTTATTGAAGATTCAGTTTCACTTCCGCCAGCACCTCCACCTTCATCCCACGTTAAAATCGACTTGAACACGACTTTTAGATCACGTCCCATTGGTAGTGCTGGTGCTAGAGTTGCCGACAATATTTCGACTCTTGCGCAATTTTCTTTTAAGCAAGGAACCAACACCGGTACTTATAAGTGTGTTTTGTGTATTTGTTTTGCTTTTTCTGTGACTCAAAAGTTTTTGGTCTAAAATAGGTGTAAATTCTACTACCCATATTTAGACAAGTCTACGCAACAACCGTCACTTGTTGAATCACAAAGGGACCGCCAATTTGAGCCTCAGCAAAGGAAACAAACGACTATTGGCGCTTCGTCCTTTACGCACTATGAATATAAATCGAGTTCTGTCCCGTCGCGAACTCCAAACTTAAGCAATGCTTGGGAGTTTGCAGGGTGGGGTTCGACATATTATTTTGATCTTCCTCCAAATATGATAGTTGAAGATGAAACTTCAAACAGCCATTTACTTGGTCAATGGCGAGCTGTCAGCATATCAGGAAATGATCTTTTGGCCTCTGTCTTGTATACCATTGGAATCACAACTGTAGTCTCGGGAAAATATGCTCCGTTATGTTTCTTGATTACTGCCTTTATCCTTTACCCATTTAAAAACATTTTAAGTGAGGTTGGTACCGCGTTACCACTTAATGGTGGCGCGTACAATTGTCTACTTAATACATCGGCAAAGTGGGTCGCGTCTATCGCTGCTACACTTTCATTGTTAGATTATATAGCCACCGCAGTTGTCAGTGGTGCATCTGCAACCGCGTATCTATCTACTCAAGTCGAAATCTCGAATACGGTAACTTTCTGGTCGACAATAGGAGTATTGCTTGTATTCGCGGGGATTGTCTTGATGGGGCTTCAAGAATCTTCCACAATAGCTTTTGTGATATTCAGTTTGCATTGCTTAACGTTGACATTACTCATAATAGTCAGTGTTGTTCGGTGGTGCATTCAAGGGAATGGTACATTAATCGAAAATTGGAAAAATCCTGGTTCGGGAAATGCTGCGTTCGACATATTTAAAGGTGTCTGTGTGGGGTTATTAGGTGCTACCGGATTCGAAACCTCGAGTAATTTTATTGAAGATCAAAAACCTGGCGTGTTTCCAAAAACCATGCGCAATATGTGGCTGATGGTATTATTTTTCAATGTGTCCATCTCGTTATTGTCTACCGCCATTCTACCATTATCAACCTTTTCTGAGTATCCAAATAGCTTAATATCAATAATGGGAGCTCATGCCGGTGGTGAATGGCTACGTACAGTAATTGTTGTCGATGCAGTGATTGTATTGTGTGCTGGAGTATTAACAGGATTCGTTGGAGTAACCGGACTGATTGTGCGAATGGCATCTGATCAGATTCTACCGCAATTTTTATTAATAAAAAATCGCTTCACTGGCACTAATCATTGGATAATTCTAAGTTTTCTCATTCTGTGTATTACCTTGTTCGCGGTGGAAGGTGGCGATGTCACATCATTAACTGGCGTGTTTTCCGTGTCCTTCCTGAGTGTACTATGTATGTTTGCGATTGGATGTATTTTATTAAAATACAAACGTGGACGTTTATATCGACCTATACAAACTTCTACCGGCATTGTGATCCTCGGATTGGCATGTGTGGTCATCGCATTAATAGGAAACATTATTATTGCACCGTCTATTGTACAGTACTTTGTTATCTATTTTTGTGCGATGTTTTCCATTATGGTGTTTCAGTTAAGTCGGGTGTGGATATTAAAGGTATTATTTCTTCTTTGATTGTTTTATGTTTTATCTTTGAGTTAATTTTACGAAATACAATCGATAAGTTTGATAATAACTTTATGGTTTTTTTGTTTGATAGACAATATTCTTTTACCTAGATAAAATTTTAATACTACATAAACACGGAGATATAGTGATAAGAATGATCAAAAAACTCAAGAAACAACCAGTCGTATTCTTTACGAACACGGATGAATTGCATATTCTGAACAAAGGTATTGTTATAGTTATTGCTATATATCTCTATTGATTTTTGAGTAGGAGAAACACATTAGTATACAAATTGCTAATATTATACTTCCATAATAATACATGATGAAAACGATGTTTGATGTTGATTATGATGATATGCGCGAAATTTAGCTGTACTCTATGTTGAGAAGTCGGAACACACCGGATATTTGAAGTTTATTCATCTGTATCAGAAGATTGAAGATGTATGAATATTTTATTTTCGTGTTATGTGACGTAGGTCTTGAAAAACTTGTTCTAGCGGTTTTTTCATTGTTCCTTTTACAGATACCTCCACGACTTGAAGCGAATCATCGTGTTCTTGATGAGGTTGATTTTTTATTTTTTTTTCTCTTGTTTCCAATTTTCTTTGATATTCTAAAGTTTCGAATGTAATTAACCTTATTTTTTAATTTCTTAATTACGTAGCTTTACCCGAAAATTCAAATTGACTTGGTAACTTTTTTATAATTTTTTACCAAATTAACTTTTGGAAATACGAATTCATCTTCTTTTATTTCACCTCTATCTGCTGACATCCACCAAACAACACAGATATTCATCCAAGGCCAATTCAACCCAAAAACAATAGATGCAATATCGCGGCACCTACACATTCCCAAATCGTTAATGTTCATTTCGTGTCCAGGGGACAAGTTCCAGCATCGCATTGGCGAATACGGGGGGATTAGGACGATAATGTTCTGATGAAAAAAAAGGTGTTTAAAATTGTATTATGTATGTAATTGTAATAATAATAGTGATAACTGCATTAATCATGAGGCATACGTGTACATTTTAAAAGCACAAGATAGATACCATAATAAATGGGGGGGTTTAATCATCTTATAAGAAATTGCATGTTTTATATGTTATATAATAAATAGATTTCTCAATACAATACTATTAACTTACAACTACTATTATACAAAACTATATATATATGTATAATGTAAAATAATGTACACGAATAAAAAAATAAATAATAACAATATACAAGTGTTAAGGACATAGTCCAAAAGAAAATCCAATACAATCAAAAAATGTTATACACAATACTCATTTTTCCTATATTTACCACCATGCTTCATCATCACTTGCCGAATTCAGATCATCATTGTCACTTTGATTATCGTCATCATCATCATCATCATCACTCATCTTTTCTATGTCTATTTCTTCAAGATCTTTCAATACAAAAAATGGTCGAGTTCGCGGGTTCGGTCGTCGCCCAAGTAAAATGTCTTTTCCTTGGACCAACCGTTCTCGCAATGTCCATTGCACACGACCCAACACAATATTACTATTCCAAGTACTGTCATCCAGACTTTCTTTTTTACGATCTTCTTCCTTTCCTTTCCTTCGCCTTTTCTCCCTTATGCTACCATAAAAAATAACATTGTTCAGATAAAGGTAAATCCGATTCAAAACGCCAGAATGCAAGAACCCCGTTTTTCCATTATTCTTCCAACACCCACGCCTCTCCAAAAACTCTTCCAATTCGAGACGCATCATCGGTCGATAACATATACTCTTCCGATACGCTGGCGAAAAGTCTTGCGGATGCATTGACAAATTCTGTATCTCATGCGAATTTTTCCGCCACAAGTCATCCCAAAATAGGAACCACCATTGATGCACGCGAGACAGGTTCACAATGCGCATTCGTTCGTAGAGGTAGACGAGGGATGGGTACTCCGTTTCGGGGATTGATTGAATTAAAGGGTTTTCTTCAGTGGACATTAATAATGTAGGAAGAGATTCTAGTGGGATGGAGGGATTGTCGTAGATATTTATGAAAAAGGCATAGGTGAGGGTTTCTACTTTGTGGATTGCTTCTTTATAGTAGAATTGGCGGTATTCGTTCATTAAATCACGGACTTTTGGGAATCCTGATTCGATAAGTTTGCTGTTATCGGCGAAGAGACGTTGTAGTTGAGGAGTCAATCCAAAGTCTGTGGTTATACCTAGAATGTCATGACCGACTGTGCATTCATGTGAGGGCAGTTCCGGTGATGTTTCTCTGTCATCATAATTATCTATTTCACCACGACTTGTATATGTGATGGTAACTTCGAATCCAGAATTCATGTTTATGCCTCGCCATCGAGATCCTTCTTTACGTTGTATTGATAAAAGGCCTCGATGATAATGTATACCAAAGGACGAATGCTATTTATTTTCAAATGTTATCAAACATTGAATAATAAATTAAACAAATAAAAAAACCATAACTTACTGCACTATGACCACCACCAATGTCGGAACAAGGACCCACAACAATCTTTCCTTCCAACGCCCTAAGCATCTGCCTAACTCCACGCCGTCTTTCAATCTCTCGATCTTCATTCTGTCGAATATACCGTTCAATCTCCCACTCCTTCGTAAGCGTCACAACCGAATCATCTTCATCATAGACGAACACCACTGAGAACGGAAACGGCACGACATATGCTTTCCCGAAATATGTTTTCAGGTTAATCATCAACGTTTCCGGCGCGTAGTACATATCCGGCCCCACAAAATCGTTGGAGATTTTTTGTCTCATTTTCGCTAGGGCCACAGGCAATGGGGCAACTGAGGTGGTGTATTGCTTTATCCCAATTTGTTGGATTATTTTCAAGTTTTCGATGTGTCTTTCGGCGACTGAGCCGCTGAAATTTAGGAGATAGGGAGGTCGATACTGGCTTTGTGAGAAGGCGACTATTTTCCCCTCGGGCATTTTGAATTGGTCACCAGTTAAAAGAAGCGTGGTCCATGTCTCTTGCCATATTCTCCGTTTAATATGTTTATTGAGATTTAATTTCGGTGAAAAGATATTTATTGAAAAATCCAATCGTTGTTGCACAGTTTTTACGAAACTCTGGAATCGATCAGTCTCCTTAACCACATACCAGACCACCGCCACTGCCATCCCATAATTAATGACAGTTATTGCAATAGAAGTCGCGTTAACAGATCCAATCTGAAGCACGACAAACAACCCCAAAAAACTTGTAAACATCAACCCGAATCTTGACCAAAATTCACTGACGTTTTGACTTTGCAAAAGAAATGGCTGGTGTCGCCAGTGATTAAGCAATAAAATAACCATTAGCGTGATTTGCAAAGCTTGTCGTATTGTTTCGATCCGCGTGCGTCCAAACGAACGAAATAGACAATTGTCTTTGGAGAGGATCACCACTATCAGTATATTGACAAACTTATTGAGCATGATGGCGGTTTTGTAGGTTGCCCATCGTCGATTATACCCGTTATATAGGAAATTGTAGGGGCATGTGTCTTTGTCTAATAATTCTTTATATTCTTTGTCAAGGTCTTTTCGAGCTTCACCCATTTCATTGAAGTGGTCGAGTTTTGGAAGATTTTTGTCTACCAAACGTTTCACCGCTATCGGAAACCATACAGTCAATACTGCAAGATTTAAGAGTGCTATTGGGATAATGATGAACGCAAAATTTAAATCTTGTTTTCGCATACTAGTCACATAACAAAAGTCATCTGGTGCTCGATAAATATCCGAGGGACCGAGTGAGGTGAATTCGGGCGTATCAGTAGTTTGATATGGATTCGTAACAGGCCAAAAAGTATCCGACCATACAAGCGCGTCAATTGAAAGTTTTGATAAAGGCAAATACAAAGATGTGATCATGAATACCACGACAATATTTTCCCTTCTATTTCTTTCTGGACGAAGATTCCAAGGATGCGATTCTAGTCCCTCGACTTCTTCATTCGGGTCATATTTTGTCATCTTCCTGAACCAATAAAGTGCTGCAAAGCAGATTAAAAAAAATGCCAACAAAAAAGCAAATCCGTTTCCAAACACATCTTGAAAGTTTAAACCAAACAAATTCGGCAGTGTATTCAATAAAGTATGTAACCAGGCTCCAACTATATTTGGTGTGACAAACGACAAAGCTAACGTGAGAAGCTGTATAAAATCCCGAAAGATTTCCAATTTCATAATATTAATCCCATACACTGATCCTTCAGCGCCAAGTACTCCGTCGATACCAGCAGAAATTATGTCATTTTGCATCCGCTGGCTTCTATTAGTACTTGATTTGGAGTTATTGTTCTTTAGATCATCAAGTGTAAGATCATCGGGAATCTGATTCATTGGAGGGAAAATCTCCGTTTTGTAGAACTTAAGTTGTCCCATGAATTGTTGGTATTCTTCATCGGTCATAATGTCTTTGGGTGATGTGAATTCTGTTCTCGGCAGGGATTTAATGAATTCATCTAGTCGCGGCAAATGGATCCATGGTGCCCCCGGTTTAAATAGTTCATTAATTTCGTTCGACTCATCATATGTATCAAAACTAAATTTCGTTATTTTTGTTAAATCAAACTCAAGCGTATTTTTCTTGTTATAACTGTGACTATTAACATTATTCTTTTCTGATTTGAGAAATATCTCTATTCTCGTTAAATCAGGAACAGTTTGATTATTTTTCCGATAATTATGATTAAAATTACTATCGCGATTCCGAGCCGTTAGATCTGGTACAGAGTGATTTAATTTTCCGTAATCAGAGTTTGCAATTTTATGTGGCACCATTAACGATAATTTCGTTTTCGATGATGTGTATTCGGGAAGATCGTGCATTTGACTTTCTATCGAGATGGCTCGTGATAATTCTTTGTGTTTTTGCAATGTATTTGCTCGTGATAATTGGCTTCGTTGAGGTGGCAAAGGATGGTTAGTAGAAGTAGATGCTGACGGTACTGGTCTTCTTATTGAATAAGGTCGTGGGCCTAGCACAGTTTTTTTTCGTTCTAATTTGCTGTTGTGACCATGATGGGTTCTTTTGGACGACGTTGATTGTCTTCTTGGATGCCGTAACTCTTGTAAATTTTTAGTTATTGTTGTTTGACGCTTCTTCGATTCACTTTTTGATTTGGTAATCTTATTAATTTTAGATATTGAATCGGACCTATTAATAATACTATTTCGATTATCATTAATGTTAATGTCAAAATTGCTACCAGTGTTCAATTTTTCTTTTTTATGATTATTAGTCATTGCCAAGCTATGACTATCAAAAATAGATTCATTATGACACGAATCATTAGTTATGCTTTTCTTCTCGTTAATCTTCTCCATCATATAACTGTTGGTCTCTTGTGCCGATGTTAGCGCATGAGACTTTTTATTGGATGAATCGTTAAAAAATTTGGACCCAATCACTCGGTAGATATTGGAAGATTTTCCTTTTTGTTGTTGATTATCGATGGTTTCATAAAAATCTGATAATAGCTTTGGTGATGATGGTGGTTGGTTCTGTGTCAGATGTTGGTTGTTATTAGCATCAATGTTTGATGGTGATGGAGAATTATTATTGTTGCTCTTTTCATGAATTATGCTATCGTGTTTTCTTTGGTAGAATGAAGGTGTAGAAGATGAGATAGGGGATGCTGATGACGGTGAAGCCAAATTACTAGATAATTCAGATGAATTTGAATTTGATTTATTTTTTTCAAATTTTGTAATTAGATTCGTGACTCTACGTATTGGTGGGAGAGTACGACTCGGGGGTGGACCTTCGGGCAACATTTCATCATTGTTATTCGCAGAGGCGCCACGTTTTATTGCAATAAACTCATCTTCCTTTTTAGACGAATTATTGCTTGAATGAGACTGAGTTGTCAAAAGAGAATCATAAATTATCGATTTTGAAAGAAATGCTGCTGCAGGTGGCGGTTTTATTACTATTTCTTGGATCGACATGTCATCACTATCGTCTCTTATAGCATTGCTATCGAGTGTTTCAAGTTCAGGTTGTGGAATTGAGCTCCAATCAATCCGACCAATTTCATTTTCCTTTGATAGAGACTGTATCTCAATAATTGAAAGACTCGTTTTGGGCGAATTATCCACAGGCGACGATGATATTATGTCGTTTCTTCTGTGAGTAGAATGTTCATTATTATTGTTTTTGGTTGCATTATCATTATACTTAATTTCAGAAATACTAACAACTCTTTCTTGAAATCGCAAATCAGTCGCTTTTTTATTGTGATCCTTGAAATTATTAATATTATTGCTACTCAAAATAGAGTTACTCGTTTCTTTTCGTGCTAGAGAATTGTCAAAGTTATTACTTTTATTCTTAATCTCATTAGAATTTCCTTTATTACCCCAAAATCGTATGAGATCGTTAACCGGCTTTGAGGAAGAAGAGGGATTATTTGACATTCTGACAAAAAAAGAGTAAAGATAACAAATATTAACTAATACTATGAGTAGTCGTTGAAACGCATTCCGTTTTCATACAAGGATTTTGTTCGAATTACTAAAAACCAAATCAAGGAAAAAGGAGCAGCAAAACACCTACTACATGTATTAACATTATTTACTATTATTCAATGCTACCACATAAAATGAGCACCAACTACATCATTAAACGGAGTGATGATTAACGTTAAGGGGTTAGATTTCTTATGTAACAAACACATTTCATTGAATTCTTTAATAAAGTAGCTAAAATTACAAGTGTCTATATAATATACACATTATACGTACATAATAAATAATTTTTGATCAATGATAATAGTAATATACATAAAATGACAATTGCAAAGAGAAAATATTATGTATGCAAAAAGTTGACACAAATCAACTACCATCATCACCAATTAATTCGCCATAGACACGAAACCTTGACAAACAAGTGGCTTCGTTCCCCCAATTAGACTTGATGTTAAATAAAAGATACCGTATTCCAGTCGATGGCTGCACGATGCTCGGAATTTCGAATATTTGTAGGGGCATTTGGTCGATAGCGTATGTAAAATTGGCGATGAATTGAAAATCATGTAAAGGAGGAATTGGTAAGGAATATTTTGTTTTAGTTACGAATCGCTTGATGATCGAAAACACCTTGGTATAGTCATGGTAATGATATTTATCATTGTCGTCGTTCTTGGTAATGGTGTGAATTTCGATTTCTTTGGGTGCACTGGTCAAGTCTGGGTCCATATGAACATAAGCGATTGCCTTGATGCGTCGTAACTCTGATTTGAATTTGAGAGTTAAGTTTCCCTCGACACTCGAAAATGGTCGGCACCCAAAATAATTTTTTGGAGCTAATTTCAAGAATATTAAAGGCTTTAATCAAAGAATAAAAATAATTGATTGAATTAATTAATGTCTAGTGTAACTGACTTTCATGACTCAGGACGAGATGCTGAAACGGTTGCTTGTACGTAAAATGAGGGTCTCCACGTAAAGGCGAGGTCAACTCCTTTACAACCTCAGCATTGACCGCGTGATCTTTTTCATTTTTATAGAAACTATAAAGGCCAACTATCTGCTTCAACTTTTTGACAGTCTGCTCGTATTTTTTAATTTGCTTTGTTGATTCTTCTTTTTCTTCCTCTTTTTTCTCGTTTGGACGCGCTTTACTTATTGGTTCTTGCTGTAATAATAGATTGTCGTCAAGATAGTGAAGATCACCACTGCCTCCATTATTTAGAGTCTGATTATTAATAGAATTCACAATTGTAGGTGTCTCGACTGGAGAAAGTACCGAAATGTAAAAATATGTAACCACCGACAATACAGCAAGAAAGATTAATATTATCCATAAGGAGTGGTTGTTGTATGTTTTACGGAATTTATTCCTTTTGCCAATACTATTTAGAATATTACACGATTCAATCGAAATCAAAATCAGTACCATTTTTAAGGTATGAAAGAATTCTCAAATATGCGTACTTTTTGTAAGTGGTTTCTTTCCACTTGAGAGTCCTCGATAATGCCCTTTCTTTTATTGAAATTTTTTCACCCAAACCACGTTGACTGAACATATGTGTGCTTGAAAGCGAAAACAATTCCTTATTGTCAGCGTCTTTTATTTCCTGTTTAACTGATACATTATCATGACTTTTTGTCGTGCTTTGTGGTGCTGCTGCCTCTTTTGTGGTTGTTGCTGAAGAAATTTCCGTATTTTTCATTCTAAAGTGTAAAGGAGCAGATTCTGAATTCACCGTCGCGTCAAAATATAATAATTCCTCCTTTTTCTTGATTTCGCTCTCTTTACTGTTATTACCCTTAATGTTCTCGTACCAGTTTTCTTTGTTGTTGTCGCTGTTGTTTTTTTTATCTTCGAGTGAAAACGAAGAGCCACTAAACAACTTTGAAGGCGGAATATCAAAGACTTCAACAAAGGAGTTTGAGAAATTCCCATTCTTGCATTTTCGGTGGCGACTTGTGTACCTGATTGTTTGGTTAGTTATTAACGGTGGTGATAGTTGTAGTTTTAGTAACAGTAATTATTTCATTAGTAAAAGAAAATAATAAACAAAGTGAGAAGGTCACTTTGGGCATTCCAAATTGTTGAAATCTTGCATGTTTGTGAATTCAAATAGGTATTTTTTATTTGCATACAGAAAAATAGGCTTATTTTTGGGTTACATATACAAATCACATGACACTCGAAGTTATATATCGTAGATATGTATCGGTATTAATATATGTGGCAGATTAAAATGAAATCGGGGACTTTTTGAATCCTCTTTTAATGCCTCTGAAATCCATATATACTCTTCTATTAACAAAACCCAAATTCCAAAAAAAAATCTAGAAAATTATCCCCAAAAAAATACGAAATTTTTATATTAAAATAGAGAAAATTTCATTTTAATCTGTCACAATATATGCATTATCTCCTTATGTGTGAGAAAAGGGTGATAATTCGGTTATCAAGTTTATCTTTGCGATCTTCAAGTTTATCCACCCTGGATTTGAACCACACTTCATTTGATTTTAATACGTCCATCTCCATTGTTAAATCAGC